GTACCTCACATCTCTCCACACCTCCCTCATCTCCTCAGACCTCCCTGTACCTCACATCTCTCCACACCTCCCTCATCTCCTCAGAGCTTCTTTTATACATCTCATGTCCTGGGACCCTCCTATACTTTACATCTCTCCACACCCTCCTCTGATAACTCTCTACACCTCCCCTCATCTCCTAGAGCTCCCTGTACCTCACATCTTATACCATTTCCTCACCTTCTTCTACTTCACATCTCTCTATACCTGCTTTTGATAACCTTTCATTTGATACCTCCCTTTATCTCACACCCCCACACCTCTCAGATCTCCTCACACTACCCACTTCTCTTCAGACTCTCCTGCACCTCACACTTCCCTATTTTCCTCAGACCTTTGTGCACCTCACACTTCCCTACTTCTACTCAGACCTTTGCACCTCCTATCTCCTCACTTCCCCTCAGACCTTCCTGCACCTCACATTTCCTCACACTTTCCCACTTCTCCTCAGACCTTCCTGTATCTCACGTCTCTCCACCCCTCATGACTGTGCTCATGCCTGGTTAATCTCATGTCTTCTTCATCTCACACTTTCCTATACTACGTCTTCTCTTCCCTCTTCTCCGATTCTTCACTGGTGCTTGTTTAGGGACAAACCTGTCTTGTCTCCAGGTCAGGAACCAGCTTTTCCTTTCCACGGTTCAGAGGCCGACCAAGTGCCTGGCGCCCGCCCTGTGCGAGTCCTTTGAGCGGCCCATAGAATTGTTTCCTTACTCTCTTGTTGAATTCCCCTGAACCTGTGGGATGGCGGGAGTCTTCGCCCTGTACCGTTTTTGGCTCCGACTTTGCATCCATCCGGGGGTTCGGGTGTCCGTGCTGTCAGCAGCTCTGTAAACTGCAGCAGAGTGATTCATCTTTGTTTGCCTCCCCGACAGGAGCTTCCTCTGCTTCCAGCTGAGTTCCTGCCGGTCATTAGGATCAGTGCAGGCTCAGGGAGATGGGTAGCGGGATAAGAGGTCCCCAGGACGAGAGGTCACGTGAGGCTGAGTTTTCATCCATCTTTAAGGAAGCCCCTGCAGACAGTGGGCGCTCAGGACAGCTTGCTTGGACTTATCTTTACCATTTTACAACTTAGTTCAGGCGTGTGTGTCTTTTAATAAATGAGGACAAAATTATGCTCAAAATGTATTCATATATGTATTGATGTATAAAGCTTGCTATCTATCAAATGTCCCTTCTCCCATCACTTGTATTATTTCAGTTTCAATTGTCAGCGATTTCTATAAACTTTAGGGAACGTAAGGATGAAGGAAGAGTTCTGAGCACAGCTTGAGGAGCCTGGCTGAATTCAGACAAGATGTAATTGCTGCACATGGAGGGTGGGTGGAGCTTTTTGTTTTTGATCTTGATTTGTTGACTTTGGAGGATCAAGGTGGTGTCCTTCTATCATCTGGGATGACTTCTTCCCTTCAGGCAGGGATGAGACCTTAATGGTGAGGTGAGTTAGGGTTGGTAGGTTAGTGTCACCTTTGGTAGTGGCAGGGGAGGGGAGGGGCTTTCCTACTTAGTGCATTACTTGGATTCATGTCCAGGGGCTAAAACTTGGATATCATTTTAAACTTTCCCTTCCTAATTATTGCTGGCATCGTTGTTGGTATTGTTGATCTTTCTCAGGCTGCTGTGAACATCCCATCTCTACCACAGGACGGTGTTCCCCAGTGTCTGTTCCCTGAGTATACATTAGGAAGACTGAGTGATTAAATAAATTTGGAAAACTGCTGTACAGCGTGTTTGTTTCTCTTGGAGACTGATGTTATAGGAGTCTTTTAAAGGCTCTGAGAGTCCCTGTAGGGGAACAGGCACTGGGCCCCCAACATAGGTCAGTGGGTAAAGATGCTTGCTGCCAAGACTGATGGCCTGAGTTTGATCCCTGGGACCCACATGACAGACTCAGAGTTGTTCTTTGACCTCTACCCGCATGCATAGCACATCTGTGCCCATCTACATGCACACACAAATAATTTAAGAAGATAAACGTTTTTTCTAATGTTTCTAAATGTATTTACTCACATGACCACATTTCTAATTTCTTCCTTTCTTCTTTTCTTCCTTTCTTCCTCCCTCCCTCCCTCCCTCCCTTCCTTCCTTTCTTTTTTTTTTTCAAGACAGGGTTTCTCTGTGTAGTTTTGGTGCCTGTCCTAGATCTTGCTCTGTAGACCAGGCTGGCCTCGAACTCAGAGATCCGCCTGGCTCTGCCTCCAGAGTGTTGGGATTAAAGGTGTGCGTCACCACCACCCAGCACATTTCCAATTTCTAATACTGCTTATTGTTGATTACCAGTTCTGTTAGAACAGCATAAAGGTTCTATCTCAGGGCCAATCCTCAGGTATGGATGCTGTGCTGAAGCAGGTGAATATTTCCAAGGCTTGTGTGCTGGAAGTGGGAACCTTGTCCTTTATGTGGGACTGGGGATGGATTTTCATGGGTCTTGGCTGGGGTTGTTGCGTCTCTCCTGACTCTGTTCTGTGTGTCCTTCACTGAAAGTGAGTAGGCAGAGCTATGGGGCCAGGGATTTCTGGAAGCAAAAAGTTGTTTCCTTATTTATAGTGCATAGTTGGTAGGGCTATACTGCCCATGGGATGGTGCGGCTGTTTTGTATCTCTTGAGTGAGGCCATCATTCTGCAGGTTCCAGAGAAAACAGACACAGCATTGGCCAAGGCTGGGAGTGAGCTGGGATCCCGCAGGAGCCCTGGGTTCACTCTAATCCACTTATAGTCTGTCCCATGTCTTCGCCTGACCTAGGCCACACCTACAGCACTGTTGAGAGCAGAGACATCTGGTGGCCCAGTCTGAGGCCAAGTCCACAGCCTGTAAGTTTGTGCTCCCACCCGCTGCACATAGAGACTTTTTTGGTAGTTCTGTCTACCTGGACCCTTTTCCTTCAGTGGGACTGTAAGCTGCTGAAGGCAGGGCTGGTCTTTGCCATCTCTTTGCTGACAGCATCACGCATGGAGCTGAGCTCATTGGATAGGGTCACTCAGTTGTGCCCTGGCTGGCAATGCAGCTCCCGGAGGCACATGGGTGGGGATGGGTAGTCTCACAGTAACGCCACTAGAGCGTTTGGAACTTGTAGATAGTGCGTTAAAGAAAGTTACATACTATGAATGAGCCCCCAACAGTAGCACAGCATCAAACAAAATGATGTGTTTCCATGATAAGATCAAGTATCCTTTTTGTATGTGACACAGTCTTGCCTTGACCGGCCTTGAACTTTTGGATCTCCTGAATGCCTGCTTCAAAAACACTCCTTAAAAATAGTGTAATTTCTGTCTTGTCTTCATTGGCTACTTTAATGAAGACTCTTGCTATTTTGTTTTATTTTTCTTCAGTACTAAGCTCAAGACCGTGCACATGTTAGGCAAGTACTTGACTGAGCTGTATCCCCAGTCCTTATTTGAGACAGGGTTTCACTGAGTTGCTGAAACTGACCTTAAACTCACTTGTAGCCTAGGCAGTCCTTGAACCTGGTACCCTCTTTACCTCAGCCTCCTGAGGCTTCTCAGTGTCAGGGAAAAGTGCCTGGTACCTGGCTGTACAAAGAAGGGGACTCCAAGTGATGGTGACATTTTGTTGCTACACACTTTGAGCCCCAACCTACCATGTTTTTCTGTTGTTGCAGGTGATTTTCAAAGCCAAGTCAAAATATTCTCCAGAATTACTCAAGTATCGGTAAGTACCCCAGAACGTTGCTCCTCGGACAGAGTGAAAGTGTATGTGAAACTGTTTCATCAGCTGGAGTGTGTACATTTACCCCTCTGTAAACACCAAACAGCCCAGCAGGGGTCCTGATGGCCTACTGGCATGTTCTCCTTGTTCATGAGCGCCTGCACATTGATAGGATTTACTGGAGCCCTGTGGAACAATGCGTGTACACACACACACACACACCAAAATACACCCCCAAACCTTCAGAAAGAAATTGCATCAGTACTGAACATATACAGATATGACAGCATTTACATTATATTGGGATCCTGCATGACACAGACTTGATTTAGGTTATACAGGAGAATGTGCATAGGTTCTGTACAAATAAGCCATTTTATGTAAGGGTTGTCCAGGCGTCCTTGGATTTTGGTATCTTTGGTGTCCTGGAATCAATCCTCTGTAGATACTGAGAGATGACTGTGTATGTAATGAGGATTCTACAGACAACATTTATTCAACACTCAATTGAAATGCTTTTGATCACGTGTGTGTGTGTGTGTGTGTGTGTGTGTGTGTGTGTGTGTGTGTGTTTGTGTGTGTGTGTCTGTATCAGTGTATTTATGTTTATGGGGATGCCCAAGGAGGCTGGAGGTGTTAGATCCTTTGGAGCTGGAGTTATATGGATGCCTGCTGTGGGTGCTGGGGATTGAACTCAGGTCCTCTGTGTGGAGGCTCACAAAGGTTTCCTAGTAGGACATGAGCTTACTTTACTCAGAAGAGCTACATTAGAGGATTGCTTGACCATGTGCATGGTTTCTAGGTGATTGGAAGGGTCTGTACTTGGCTGAGCTAGGGGAAGGTCTTGGCTTCACCCCTTGGCATTCCTATAAAAAGCCCTTTAGAAGAGCCAGGAGGGGCTGGTGGATAAGGATCCAGGCCCTACTGAGGCTATCCTGTGTTTCTTTTTCTCTCCACTCTATCCTTCTATCTATATCTCTTATCCCTCACTCCTCAAGAGTACCCTGGGGTAAAATGTGGGAGCCGGTCTCCCAGCTGGTCTCCCACACCTCTGGATAAGTAATACACTCTCTTAACCACAGAGCCATCTCTTCAGCCTCCAAGAAGAGTTACTTTTTTATCCCCAGTCTGTATTTAGGAAACAAGTTCGGAAAATTGTGCACGGATTGAGAATCCCTGCCCGACACTGTCTGTCCCGCAGTTTGTCTGTCCTGACTTCTGTCTCTGCTGCTATGTGGTACTGTGTGTTTCCATCACACCATTGACCCAGAGCTTTGGAATCCATTAAGATGCTGGGATGTTGGAGCCAGGAGGTGGAGTAGCCTTAATCTCAAAATCGCAAATACCCTCAACTCC